CTGTCTCTCATTCTACGGCGAAAGTGCGGTGGTAAGGTGATGGGAAACGAGGACTGGTTGACGGTTCCAGCAGTAGAGAACACAGTGTATCCTGAAATCGGTACCTCGTCTGACATATGCTCTTTCTTTACCCGCTCGTTGGCCTTCAAACTGCACAAGCTGCAGGTCAATGACATTGAGGTCGCCATGCTGGCCGCCTTTCTCCTCATTAATCCCTGTAAGTCATCTTCGCAAACAATGCCTGAACGAAATTTCACTGAAGCCTACAGAAGTTGCTACTTGCTTCTTTTCTTTCAAGACCGCCACGATTTGTCCGACGCGAGTAGAATCTTGACCCGAAGGAACATCCTCACGGAAATACTTCGTGTCTACGCGAATCGCCGCAGATCCGCAGACGAGTTTGCAGCACCACAAGACAAATTTCCAGAAAGGATACATGAACTCATCGTGCTTGCTTCGTTTATCACTTCAAATGTCACAGAACGACTCAAACACACACCATGAGTATGACATGCCAATTAACAATTGGAATCCAAAGACCTCGCTCGAAATGAGCGAAGTCGTTGACACACAATCTTGCACAAGCGCAAGTGACGAAACCATTTGTGATTGCCACCAATCTTGCTGTCTGTTTCAAACTCATGGTGTGTGATCTCATCCGAAACGGTTCGGCTGCTCATATTCCAAGTCGATTTTACACGCGACACCATTGTCCTTTTCTGTTGCCATGTTGAATACCGTGACACTGTTGATGTGCACTACAGCTATGGGTTTGTAGACTTCGTTGCAAATGAGTCGGATGGGAGATTTCACCGACATGAGCTCCACCAACTGGCTTGTTACTACTAGAAAGATCTGAAATGCAGAAAGTCGTCAGTTTAATTGATGGAATAGCGTTATGTCTTTTTCTGCACAATCGCAAGTGCATCGCTTCTTGAGGTCGTGTCACAGACCCCATGAACGAATCATTGGCAAACGTAACACTAATTATCTGGTTCCCTCAGTCGTTGTTGGCGTCAGGTAGTGAGTCAACGTCCGTTAACCGCATCAATAGGTAAGGAACATTTGGATGAGTTTGCCAGTTAGGTACGTGAGCAGGTGACCAGATCGCTAGGCGCAGATCAAGAGTCGCTGTGAAAACTGTGCTTTCACGTTATTTGCTACTAGCACCTCCCTGCAAGTAATTACCAAACATGATCTGCATACTGGCATAAGTCCTTGTTTTCGCCAGAAAGATGACAGTACGCACACCAGAAAACAGCAGCGGATGTCATAGCGTGTCGAGCAGATCGTGCCATTCTTAATCGCATGTTGACCCTTCATGCAGGCTGTATAGTGTCGGTGTTCTGTGGATTAGTGTGCGTCGCTAGATAAGCTGCTTTTGCACGAGAACAGACGAGCTGGCATTTGTTGCATGGCTTTGGACATGATCACGTGCCGAATAAGCTGATCATGCAGTTTATCCTAGCATGGATAGTGTGCATGACCTCTGTATTTCTGACCCCGTATTACATGATCAGAAACCACAAATCTACGTTTAAAAATAGCGTTCACGATAAAACACATTTTTCTGCTGTAAC